AATTCTGCTGGGAACAACGACGGAAAAAATGTCTTGCAATTTCTTGCATTTATAATATTTCCTTCGGATCTCTCCAAAGTCTAGACATTCGATTAAGATGTGTCTAACGGTAAAATCTGTGTCGCATCCGACACAGAACGGCTTCTCATCTCCCTGTAAGAGGTATTTGTGGGTCAGGGCCGTGTGTCCGATGCGCAATCGAGTAAAAATGACTTCGTCTCTTCTGGAGAGGTCCGAAGGATTTCGCTGTTTCAGCTTGGGTTTTATAACATACATTTTATTGTTTTTCTGTTTTTCCCAGTGGCTCTCCCACAGACTGGAACGCCTGCTTTAGAGTAGGAGTTGTCAGGTACCCATTCTCACCCGAGTTAAGGGAGGACGATTTGTTTCAAATGTCTTTTCCAAGGATACAACACTAGGACCGGACTGGGATTTAATAATGTCAACAGCTCCCAACTATAAATTTCCCCCCCGTTGACTTTGGGCAGAGCATCCAATCCTCTTGAATTCTATTTGATTCAGATTATACGCAGGCCGTGTGTGCTTGACAGTTAAGTCAAAAGTCAGGTCTTGTTTTTGTTTTTGTAAAGTGTTTTACGGCACTCGCAACTGCATATGGTCATATGAGCGCGCGGGACACACCTAATGTTTTCAGTAGGTAGGAAATTTTGAATTTTGCCCGGGTGGCGGCCGAAGCCTACTCTTATCGATTTTAGACCACCAAGGGATCTTTAACGTGCGCAACTTGCACACAGGCCCTCCGAGATTTTCGCCCTTGTCCGAAAGGCTAGGTGTAGATCTTTCCTACCCGAAGATCAGGGGTGTGGCTGAAAGACAGCAGTAAGAAGAAGCGAAGGAGAAGCAGTAGAAAGGCAGCAGAAAGAATCAGGGGCCCAGAGGAAGGGGCAAAGGAGGTGAGGGGGTGGGGGCAGAAAGAGGAGACGAAAGCAGACGACAGAACATTGCTAGAGAGAAGGAAATGAGGTGAAAGGAGACAAATTTAGAGAAATTTTTTTTTTTCGGTCGCTACCCGGATTCGAACCCGGGACCTTTTGAATGAGAGGCCAACACCTTAACCTCTAGGCCACGAGAGCCCCAAAGTCAGGTCTGCCAATGCAGTTGTCAGAGGTATAAGGAGCTCAAAATACAGATTTCTATATATCCTTTTATGGAACCGATTTTGTTTTGTATGAGTAAATAGAAGCACATCGTACAGTAATGGTCATTTAGTGCTGGGAAAAAAATTAAGATTGATAGACTGAAACAACAGAAGGAAAATAAAGAAGTAGGACCCACCAGTGGTGACCTCCAATCACTAGCTCCTAGACCTGAAGAAAACTTGTCAGTACTGATAATAAAATATTCGAGTTTGATAAGGCTACCTGACTGCTGAGACTGAGAGTCAAGGGACCTCGCATCATATTTGGAAAAATGCTTCTTTGTATAATTTGTATTGTGGGTTAATAAAATCTTATAGACAGTAACACCTGAACTCTAGCAGGGGAATCAACCGCCCCCCCCCCAAAAAAAAATATGAAGAGGAGAAAGAAATAGGAAAGGAATGCAAAACTACTCATGACGTAGATGTATATTTTTCATGTAGCCAACAATGGACCCATAGGCATGTAAATTAAACCCCATGACTTGATGTATGTCATGTAACAATAAAGAGGGTCAGAGAAGTTCATTTGCAAAAATCAGATGGACAAAATGAACTTCATACAATATAGGATAAAAATGAGGAACAAACAGAAAAAAACCCCAAAACGACGAGAAATAGGTCATACAATGTACAAGCATCACTCGTCAATTTTCCTCTTTATTTTTTTATTTTTTTTTGGTAAGTGTTTCACGGCGCTCACAACTGCATATGGTCATATGAGCGCGCGGGACACACGTAATATTAGTAATATTTTCAGTTGGTAGGAAATTTTGAATTTTGCTCGGGTGGCAGCTGAAGCCTACTCTTATCGATTTTAGACCACCAAGGGATCTTTAACGTGCGCAACTTGCACATGGGCCCTCCGAGGTTTTTCGCCCTTGTCCGAGAAGGCTAGGTGTAGATCTTTCCTACCAAAAGATCAGGGGTGTGGCTGAAAAACAGCAGTAAGAAGGAGCCAATGAGTAGCTGTAGAAAGGCTGCAGAAAGAGTCAGGAGCCCAGAGAAGGGGGCAAAGAAGGCGAGGGGGTGGGGGCAGAAAGAGGAGACGAAAGCAGACGACAGAACATTACTAGAGAGCAGGAATGGAGGTGAAAGGAGACAATTTTAGAGAACAAAATTTTTCTGTCGTTTACCGTACTCGAACTGGGATCTTGAAAGAGAGGCGAACACCTTAACCTCTAGACCATGAGAGCCCCCCAATTTTCTTCCATTTCAGAAGAAAACCAAAGGGTCAAAAGAAGCTGAGACAATATAATGTCTCATAATACAACAAATAAAAATGGAAAAAAAAAATAAATTCAAAGTCAAAGCACAAAACCAGTTAAAGCAGCAGCAACAATAGAATTGTTTATTTACATAATCAAAATCTCTACAACCAAGTCAAAATTCAATACATATGATTACTTCTGTTCATACCAGTTCAAGTTCAAATTCCTTACTAAGCACCAAACAGGTAATTTAACTTTAACACTAATGCCAATAAACAATTAATTGAGGACATGAAGAAAAATAATCCTCATCACAAAATACAACAAGTTCTTAATTAAAACAGAGGAAAACTAAAGGAACACAAATGTTACACTGGTAGCAAAAGCATCCAGCATGTATGAACACAAGAATTTGGAGGCTTAGCTTTTGGGTACCAAAACTCTTGAACTGTTTGAAATATGTAAGCAATTAGAAGAACATTTTGTTCTAAATAACTATACTTTTCGTCAACAAGGACCATTTACCTAATGAGCGGTACAGAGTCAACAATTCCATGTTTAACGATAATGTACTGTAAATGGGAGTCAAAGGACTAAAGGCTCATATTCTGGTTTAAAAAAAAAAAAAGCAAACAAAACAAGAATTTCTCAAAAAGTCGTCATGAGGTTCTGTGGGAGTAATCAGTTTAAAAATATTTGTCACCTCGGCCATGATACAGGTGTCAACACTTTCAAAATGACGGGAATGGAAACCAATAGTACCTCTTGATGTAGAAATATTTTGTTATTCAAAGCAGTAGTATTTGATTTATGGTGTTACAGACACAAGTTGGTTATGTAACGTAAATACAACAGTAAAAATATATTTTTTCAAAACGTAACGGACCATTTAAGAAAGAAAAGGACTTCAAATTTGAAGAATGCAACATTATCTCAGTGTTTTACAGAAAAATATCGGAAGGTCAATTGCATATTCCCTGTAAATCATATGTGTAATGAAAACAGATGAGGTAGCTCCTTACAAAGAAAACAAGTCTGATGTTGCTCTGTACAAGTGGTTTACAAGATTGGCAGGTTCTTTCAGACAAAAAGGTATGAAGACATGCTATGGAGGAAACAATTTAAAAGTTCCAGTTTTTGAGATTTCATGGTGTCAGATGTTCCACACTAATTCTTTGAATAAAAGTAATTTTTTGTTTGATTAGAAAATGAACCCCCCCCCCCCCTTACAATTTTGTACCAAAAACCAATTTCCCACACTTTATGAACTCTAGAGGGTAGGCCTACTTGGTCAACAGTCCTTTGGATCGCTTTTGCAGGTACACACATTTGCAGTATGAAATGTCCTGGAGATTAAGTAAGCGATCCAGTCCCTCCAAGAGATCATTGGTTTCAGCAGGATGTACCAGAGGAACACTCCAACAACCCCCCCTCCTCCACATTCAGCACATTCATAACTGTTCTGTTCATTATCATCATGGAAGAACACAAGTAAGAACAAAAGACTTCCTCCCTGAAGGTACAGTTCAATAGTCTCTGATAGAATTATTCATAAAAAAGTATTTAACAGACATTTATTATAAGTGAAAGAAATATGAATAAATAAAAAAGTGTAGAAAGAAATCATTTTCTATTGTTCATTCTGGCTTAAAAATCAAACAAAAATGTTAAATATTTTTGGAAGGCTATAAATCTTATACTTCTATAAAATCCATCCAGTAAAATAGAAGTTAACATTGACTCTTGACAGTCAGCTAAAAAATTCTGGAAAGAAAATTGTCTCTTTCAAAACTAAATAAGTGTTGCATTTTATCCAACTCACTTTCATCTCTCTGCCAACTGGAATCCTTTTCTACTTATGCGCAAAGATAGATCTCAGATAACTCAGAACTGAAAGCTCATCTACTACAAGCTATGAATTATGCAATAACCTTTCACTAGATATATGTAAATTGTGTTCCAATTTTTCTCTTAACTACCAACTTTTGTCTAAAAAAAAAAAGTCAAAATCCAAGAACTGAATATTAAGAAATTCATTTCCCTGTCCCCACGTAGGTTCACTCCAAACAGAAACTTGAAATAAACTAATCCTAACAGGGAACAGTTCCTACATTTGTCTCCTCAGGGAGTCATCATGTATAAGTATTGCACCACATGAAAAGCTCCACGAGGCAGGCCAACTCATATTTGTAATGAACAATAAAAATAATTCTACAAGACAAAAACTTATTTTAAATACTACGCACATTTAGTGAGATTACCAACAAGAGGGTCTCCAATCTATATTTATTAACTAATTAAATGAGCAAAACAATGTGCCCTATATACCCTACACATTTCATTAACTACACATTTTTTTAAACATTATATACCTGAACAAATACAGAAAAAATAAATGACAAAAGAGGCAGAGATAGATCTAGAACAATTTACTTAGAGAACTTGAACAGGTGGCAGACATGGAAAAGACCAGGATAATATTAGGTCTTTTGAAATTGAAAGCATCTGAGTAGATCATCGTCTTTTTCAGATCAGGCACTTGAAGAGGAAACCTGAACAAATTTGATATTTGATAAAACTCTTATGACCCTGAACAGACAAAGCCAATGACAGGCGGATATACTTCACAACATAACTTCCCCTCTCAGAAATAGATTTCACGTCTTCCATACACAAGAGCAAACAACCTTCCACAGACCTGTGAGTGATGGTAATTGAAATGTTGGTGGCTCTGGAGGCTATTTTATTTGGGTGGAACGAAAAAAATAATTAAAATAAAATAAAGCCTTCATTTGGATAAAAACTTCAAAAATACTGATAAGCATATTGATAAGTGTTGTTAAGAAGTGCACAGTAGTGCCTACTTGTTGAAGAAAATATTTGCTAAAACAAACAAAATGTAGTTCAGATAGTGCTAAAAAAATGAGCTTCCACCACTTTTGCTGTGGGATGACAGAAAAGACCTGGAGCGAGGGTCCGGCATGAGCCCCAGAGTTCCCTTTGTCACAGTTGTTGGTCTGGGTTGCGGAGGTCCCCCAGTTGTAGCCATATTGCCGGTGGCCTTTCCCGAGGAACCAGAACTTCCTGAGTTGTACTTGTACTGGCTGAAGGAGCTGAGAGGATAAAAGTTTTAAAATCTTTAAATTTAGCATCATTTACTTCACACTCACAAAGAAGTGGTCATTTTATCTGTTTTAGTAAAAAATTTTTTACGGCACTTGAAACACATTAGGTCATATAAATTTTGAAGATTAGAGGGGTTATAAAAGAGTGAAAAACGCACACAAAAAAAGGACTACCATAAGCTGACAAAACGCCTTTTTAAAAATCCACAGCAGTTTCGAGATAAAAAAGCTTTTCATCAGCGTAACCATTTTAAAATAGTGTTTTTCTGAAATTTGAATTCTAATTTATTCAAAACCTAGTCAGTTTCATTTTGATTTTTTCACACAAGTAGGGTAACTGATCAGGCTTTCGATTTAGCAAATAAGCACCCAGCAACCACCATAAAGATGCTTTCACTGTTTAGCGAACAATGCAAACACACACGCACAAAAAGTGCAAATCATCAAATCAGCCCACAGCGGATAAATAAATGAACTTTTGGGGGACAGAATGACGGGACTGAGAGCAAAAACAAGAGCAGATTTAACGTTTAATAGGTATTGGCAAGCTACTCAAATGTGGATATCATTAGTGAAAAAGCATTTCCTCTTAATGAGTAACATAAAGTTGAAATTGTCTAAGACAGATGCTGATTGTTCTGGAGAAAAGTGGCTATCTCACACAGAGTCAAAGTGGTTTTTTTTTTAATACAAGGGGTGGGGGGGGTGGGGGTTCATTTAATTTTAAAAAGGGTCAGTTATACCTTTTCATGCCCACCTTGTGGAAAAAAATACAAGACCTTGCACAATTTAATTTTTTTAAAAACAAGAAACAACATAATTCTGTAATATCCCACTTGCACAAACATATTCTATGAAGAGCAGGAAAAAATATCCTCCCAAGCAAACTGTTTCAAACTAAATCATATAAAAACAATGATGTACTAATATTTCTTATAGAATCTCATCCACTGCTTCTGCTTTCAAAGAGTGAGTGCAAATTGGAAGCATAAAGTAATGAAATTCAGAAAACATTTTCTATTCAAACATGTTTTCAAACGTATGAAATTCTCAGAAAGTTAGAATTTCAGTTATGCATTTCCATGAAAAGACAGAATGGGATAATGCTGTACAACTTTGCATACAACTGATACAAACCTTGGGGCTGTTTTCTTTGCAGCAGCTTTACCTCTGGCAGGATACTTCCTCCCTTTACCACGCCCTCGCTGTAAGAAGATACAAAATGAAAATCTGACTTCCATGAAAAGACTAACACGCATGAAGCTAATAAGATTTCCACCCCATTTTTTACGTCGAAAAAGCCACATTGTGATACATATAGTCAATTTGGAGAGCAGCAAACTTGGTCTCCAGAGGAGACATTCGTCCCAGAAGAAATATATCAATAAGCTGAGCAAAAACTTGGGACCCCACTTGAGAATTGGTCACATAAACACAAGCTGTTAATTGTCTACAGGTAACAGCACTACAGCATTTGGCTGAGATGATGCTCTGTTCAGTAAGAGGCTCTAAGAAAACCTGGGAGAAAGTAATAAACTGATATTTTTAGATACCTGAAAAACTTCAACTGCTTTGTGTATTTTGTACTTGATCTGGGTGCAAAACTGGATCTTTCTGATACAAACCATAGCTCTTCAAAGGGTGCGAAGGATAGGTTTTCAGAAAATGACCAAATTTTTCATGAGACTGTATAAATAGGGAAACAAAAGATGCACTGCTCTGTCCATTTCTGGTGCTATGGTAATAAACTGTACAAGTGTCAATCTGCCGGAGTAAATAGTTTCAAATTCCACCAACATTTTTCTGCCATAGGTTTTCAAAGCTATTTGTAAAAAGATATTCAGAACAGTATTCTAAAGAAACCCTGTGGAATTAAAATTAAAAATGATTTTTCTTTCCATACATCATAAACTTTGTCAGAAACTAGAAAGAGAGTAGTCTGTCTATTGCTGACAATGTTTCAATACAACCTTCTGCATCTTCTGGCTGGTTTTCTCAAAGCCCCTCACATAATTATTCCAGAAAACTACAATAAAAGACATCATAGCAAGAAAACGTCACCTGCACTAACCTGATCAACAATTTTGAAAAGCTCACTGCATACGTAAGAGTAAAGGTAAATGCCGCAAGAAGTCTTCTTGATGTAGGAGCACCAATCCATTTTTAGATAAAACAATACTCTTCTCTCCCATTTTGGGGAGATTCTGTGTTAGCAACCTAAGGAATGCTGTCTACAGTCCAGGGAGTAATTTTTGGTTAAATGACATTCATTTCAGCTCTACTAACACCAGAAAACTGAACAATAAACTAAACAACTGCTTAAGTGTCTACCTGCAGTGTTAGATTCATGACATTTCGCCGGTGTCCCCAACACTGCACAATATCAGAAAAAGGAAATCTCTATAAATTATTCTAAAACCTTTTCTAAAAGAAAAAAAAAGATAAATCAGGTACGACCAGGAGAAATTTGGATTCATTGTAGATAAAATCTGCAGAAGTGGAAGTCATGTTTGGGGCAGATTTGCCAAATCTTTGCATGCTTTGAGGGGGACCCTTTAATTCATTGAAACTTGTACTGTAAAACTAAATCCTCCATTGAAATATTTTTTAAAATGTATTGAAGAATTGTTATTTGTTGCACAAATAGAAGAGACAACACAGAAAAATTACCTTGAAACTTGAACGCCCTTTAGAGAAACCACGTTTCCCTCCTCTTCCTCGCTGACCTCTCCCTCTTGAGGCTCCGGAAAACGAAGATGTTTCCTCAAAGTAATGGGACGCCCACTCTTCCTCAGACCCTTCTTCTGCAGTGTTGGCATCTGTTTCTACCTCTGGGAAATAGGAGCGTGGGACAGTCATAAATAAAACAATAAGGAAAAGATAAATGCAGTTCCTTAGACCCTTGAATTGCCATAAAGGCCTTGAACATCTTGCTACCACAAAAAAAAAAAAAAAAAAGAAGGCAAAGGTAGACCAAGAATAAGTAACTCAGAGAACCAGACCAGATGGGTGACACAGAAAGTCCAGGACCAAACATCTATACTCAGAGGCAAAAGAAAAGCGAAATTTTCATTGTCGTTAAAGTGCTTGCTAAAGTTTCCACTGATGAGTACTTTTTACATACTCAAGTGAAGCCTAGTTTGAACCTGCTAGATTAGCTTCATTCGACAAATGCAATGCCCCGATTGGTCACTTACGCAACTAAACAACGATCACAGATCACCGGTAGTGTCCTGTCACATTATTCGAGTAGTGAGTTTGTGTTAATGAGGTCACGAAGGCCTGTCCTATAGATGTGAAGCCTCCAAATATGAAATTCATTTGAAAACAAAAGAAGTATCAAGATGACGAGACTTTTACCAGAAAACCGCGAGAGGGCTATTGGACAACTAAAGGCTGGCAAGTCTACTTAAAATGTGGCAACTGTTACAGGCGTGCATGTCTCCACCATCTACAGACAACAGGATTGGTTTAGAGGCACCAGCGCGACCACTGATCTCCCCTAAGCCGGAAGACCAAGGGTGACAATCGCCTCATGTTCTGCTTTTATTTCCAGATGCTTGTCCCGAAGACAAAGGCCAAGTTATTTCAGAGATGGACCTCTTTCTGCATTCTGGCTAAATCAGGAATCCTTCAAAGCCACCCTCTTCAGTGCTTACTAATAATTTTTTTCATGCTGTATTCAAGGGAAATCTTGAAAAACTAGTAAACACAGGAGCATGTTAAATTCCATGGCTATTATTGAAATACAAATAAAACAGTATTTATACAAATCTTTTTATACACTGATAGTGTTATGATCTAAAAAGTAACTGGAAGAAATAGTAGAGCTCTATTTTTGTTCGAAAACCTTTGTTAAGCTCAAACTTCTGGTGTTAAATAAAAATCAGGAGTACTGACTACAAATAATTTAAAGTACTGTGGGTCAATTTTTGTAACACATTACACCCTAAGGGCCTGGACGGGAAGTCCATCGTTAGATCCTAAGCAAGGGGAAACAACCCACCTCCCGTGAATACTAGCCTTTAAAAAACACATTTTAAAAATACTAAACAAATTCCAAAAATCCTGAAAAAATAAAAGTGAAAAAGAAAACTGAATGTAGTTTCAGAAAAATATAACTTTATGTATGCGCAAACTGTTGGAAATGTTCTAACTTTAGTTCAATCGGGGTGTCCGACCAGTCACTCTTACTCTCAGCCTCGCGGTCGGGCCCTAGGTCTAAATTCTAGATTTTCTCCGTCTGATCAATCGGAATCGCCCCAAACTCTTCCTACAACGTTTTCATCAAAATCTGAGCCATCTGATTTGTCACATGCTCATTTTTGCTCAAATCCATCGTTATTTCCGTTTTCGAACTCAATTGTGTCGCTTTTCAACAAGTCGAGACACTTTCGAAGTGTCGGTAACGCGATCGCACTTCGATCAGCTCTAATACTAAAACTACTGGCCCGAAAAATTTCGTTTCGGTATCAAACGAAAGAAGAAACTTTTTGCTATACTATGCAAATCAAAATCCCGGCCCCAGAGTCTCGTCAAGGCGAGACTTTCGTTTCTAAAGACGCTGGGTCGGCGCGGGCGGTTCCGGGCGAGTCAGGGTGGAGCGCGTAAGGGAATTCCCGGGCGATCCCGGGCGAGTTAGGGTGTAATGTGTTAAATCAGAAAGTTTCGTTTGCCTGTAGACAAATGTGTCAAAACGTGGTAGAATCAGGCTCTTGTCAATTTTTGGGCATATTGAGTTATTGGCCTGTCCGTTTGGCTTGCTTTTGATGAAGAAAATGCTCATCTATCTTGAATATTATTCGAGTTATTTGCGACTGAAAGAGGCAGGGGTTGGTCGATGACAGAAGTAAAATTAGTGAGAAAATGGCCGCCAAAGTAGGGTAAATTCCAAAATTTCAGTGTTGTTCTTTGATAAATGTTTTTCCAGTAAAATTTATTTTTAAAATGTGGTTTTAAAATGGGCACAAAAGGCGTAAGTCCCCAAAAAAGAACATTCGAAAAAAATTGCCCAACCGTCAGTAAAGTGCCAGTTTCTTTTGATTCCATTATTTTTACGGGCCCCTGATTTCACCACAATACCTCACGAAATAAATATTAAAGAAACCAGTTTCCATGACCCACCCATCATTTCCATGCTGTACTTAAGAGTGATCTCCAGGAAGCGTTGGGCCTTGTACTTTTCTACCATGGTGACATTGAAGTGGTCGATCTGGTCCACCATCTCCTCAACGGTGATCGGCGTGCGCTGAGCAAGCTGCTTCAGGGCACTCTCGGGGAAGATGAGGGCGTAGTTCTTGAAGTTATGTTCTGTCGCTGTGAACAGAGGGAAATGTCAATAGGACAGCCATTAGGGTTATTTTTCTACTTATTTATTTACCTATTTATTCATATTTAAAACATTTTCCAGTGTGTCTACACTAAGACTAACAACAGCTAATTTCAAAATTCCAGAACGCTGAACATTTTATAGTAACTATTAAACACAAAAGTGTCAGGTAACAGAATTAGGCGGGGGGGGGGGGAGAGGAGAAAAGAAATAAAGAAAGAAAATAAAAGGGTTTCATCCAAAGCCCAAGTGCTTCATTTATATTGGCATACAAAACTGCAGGAGAATGTAACCTAATCAACAATCATTAGGTAAATTAGCCTATTATTATTGTTTTGGTGATGTAAACCTGAAAGAAAAAGGATTTACAGAGTTGATTTTGTAAGTTAACAATTATCATGAAAACATTTCCTACCTAAGCTGAAAAAAACCCAACCAAACACCTTTCATTAATTAGCTCAAATGTATTGAGCTACAGATAACTTGGTGCAACCTGCCTTAACGGAAACCTGTCTTAATGGAATCTCCCCGCTCCCCCCTTGATATATTCCTCTTTAATTACCTGTATAAAACTGAAACCTGTCAAGCACAGAAACGAAAAGGAAAATCCGCTCCCTTCTGAGGGTTTCAACTGTAAAAGACGGAAAATGCTCTGCCCACTCAGCCCTGATTTGAAACAAAACTCGCGAGTTTGGTTCCGCCGGCTCTAAACTTAAAGCTATAACCATACCACTGGGTGAGGAATGGGAGTAGGGGTGCAATTTGGGGGTAGATGTATGTTACCCCATCACATAAGCCCTGAGCGATGCAGATGGTCAGTGTAGTGTGGGTGTGAAATCTCACAACTACCTGTAAGAGTGCTCGAGCAGCGAGTCACCACGGAAACTTACTTGGGTAGCCAGAAGCCAGAGGTGTGAAATTAGATTGACCAATGCCTGCCGCCCTGATCGTACGGCCAGCCGAGAAAAGAGTTCCTCGAATTGTTGTTACAATGATGGCAGTGAGGGGTGGCATTGGTGGGTGGGGCTAAGGGTGGAAGCAAAGGAGATGTTCAAACGTTTCTGTTTTTAATAGGTCAAACAGTGGTCCTATGAAAGGCAAGCACTGGTGGTAATTGGATAAGTAAGACTGACGCATGTCATTATCAGACAGGATAGCAATTGAGAGGTGTGAAATTTTGACCACTGCTTGCCGATCCGACAAGCGATCCTTGATCCCACTGGCTGGGCCTTTGAAACCCCCCCCCCCCCCCCACAACCAACTTCCGTCTCCCCCTAAATTCCCCTGTCTAAGACATAATTTTTTTCTGGCTCCCTTGCGATTCCGTCTTACACAGGTTCGACTGTATCACCTTCAGGGGCAAGGCATCTACATTATCAAATAATCACTGCTTCCCTTCCATAATTTGGGAACATTGCCATTGTCAAAATCACCAATAGACGTAGGCCATTAAATTGAAATAGATGTTTATGAAATCATGAACGGGCCATGTAACAAAACTCATTGCCACTAAAAACTACTAACCTCTTCCTCCTTTTTGGGTCACTCTCATAAGCAGGCACAGGCATTGATTATATAAATTAACAACAACCAGAGTGGTCGAGTCTATCTCAGAAAGGTTTGGGGGACGAACTCAAAGGGAATGAAGGCCTTCTCCAGACATGCAAACAACAGACGTTTCCTCTCATGGACAATAGAAAACCAGCTTACAAAGGTACAAACTTCAGAGGAACGAAATACAATCACTTTCAAAGTTAAAACTGCTTTCATTAAGCTCTGATAAAAATCTAGAAATTTCCCAGAAATTCTGGAAAAATAAAAAAAGGCAGCCTGCTGTGGGAATTCAATTACCTATAGTCTTGGCCAGGGCTCTCAGCTCAGTAAGGCAGTCTTGCTCTATCTTCTCGCGGCTGTTCTTTGGCTCTGTTCCAATCTTAACAGCATCTGCACGTTTTCTCTTGCCTTGGATTGGTAATTCAATCTAAAAAGTCAAATTCACAAACAATGAAATAAAACTCAATGACTTATTTCTGCAAACGAGACATGAGTCGAATTCAGAGTACCAAATATGTACAAACATAATTATTAAAGACACTAATCTTATTTGAATGGACTGCAATCATATTACATTCAAGAGAGTAAAAACATAACTGCATTAACAACAGATTGGAAATGAATCCATATAAACTCCCACGGAATGAGTAACCCCTTCCCCAAAGCAGGTCAGGAATCAACAGTATTCACAAAACTTATGAGCACTTATGACATGAAGACTCATTTATCCAGCTCCAGATCAAAGCATAAGAATTTCGAAATTAGCAAGTTCTAGTTAGGAGTTTGAATTTTCTTTACAAAAGTGACAACCTTGATGAATCTAGAAATGTGAAAATGACAGCACAAAAAAAGTTATTTTTAAATTGGACATACGAAAAAAAGAAGTTCATTTTCATTCAAAAACATACAAATTAAGTTTTCACCTTGATCTGATTGCGCATAAGGTCGGCAGCTCGAGGTCCCATCCTGATGTAGCAGACTGTGTGATCCATGGCAGTGACCTGCAGGTCCTCCTTGAGGATTCGGTCTATGACCAGCTTACGGCAGAGGCGCTCTGCATCATTGCGAGTCCAGTCTTTGCCACGAGCGTGAAGTGCCAGCTTGGAGTGCCCCAAACTTTTGATCTTGCTATTTTGAGAGCCTGAAAAGACAACAGAAATACTCTTAAAGGATGGTTTCTAAGCCTGTGGTAAAAAAATCCCACTTGAACGAGTTTGTATTTTCAAGTTCTTTTTAAAACAAATTTTAGTGGTCCACAGAGAATATTTTACAGATAACTGTGGAAGCTATAATTTTTTTGAGTATAACTATAGGGAAAAACCATACGAAAATCTGAAACGTAAAATATTTTCTTAAAAGTCAAATCTTTTCCAAAAAATCAAACAACCATTCTTTGTCTGAAGAAAAGATATACAAAGAACAAATAGGGATCGTTACCTTTGAATATTTCTAAAATATGAATGAGAGTGTAATTCCCATGAGGCGTATTCAACTCCCGAACACATTTCACAATCTCTTTGGCATCTTGAGTCACATCACGTAAGTTGAAGGAGTCCTGGCAAAAGTAGAGAAATAATTTTAACAAGTTACACTCATATCTGCCTCAAATGCCCTTCACAGCAAGAGCTGTCAACCAAAAAAAAAAAAAAAAAAGGAAAGATAGAACAAAAAGTAATGATAAAGAGAAAAGAAATAATAACATTGTGATCCAAGTTTTAAATTGCTGTACAGATCTTGGGAGCCCAGGTCACCTTCTATTTAAAAAATAGTCAGCAGCATTTCCTAAATATTGTTGTAAAGGGAAGCTGTTTATAAACTTAACAAACCATTTCTTTTACTGTTAATGACAAACTTAAAATTTTATCCCATCATTCTCAAATTCTAAAAACACTGACAAAACAGGATGGGAAGACAGTACAATTTTACATTTTCAACTTTATTACAAAAAGAAAAGTGAAATGACATTTCTGAAAAACAAAAGTGCACTACTGGCACATCAATTTTTAAAATATATTTTCATATGAGCCCTACTAGACTCAAATAGGTCAGGGGGATGGGGGCAGAGTACTTGGCCCACTGCTAATAGTGAAGGAGAAGGGAGGAAAGAAAACAGCTGATAAACCAGAGTAAAAATCATACTGATAACCCTGGGATGTGTTTTCATGTAACAAGTGTTTCACAACCGTAAGGTCATGGATTCGAATACCGTCCGGGTCCCAACGTTGTGTCCTTGGGAAAGGCACTTTACACAAATTTTGTTCACTTCACCCTGGAGGTAATAAGTGCCCGGCTGTAGACAGCGAAAGATCTCATAGGTTTGTTAGAGTTTGAGAGCACGCAATCCGCAGTTCTGCCGCAATCTGACAAAACGCCTTAAAAAAATTTAACAGCAGTTTCGAGAAAAATACGGGTTTTTTTGGTCAGCGCAACCATTGAAAAATAGAGTCATTCCGAAGTTTGAATTGTAATTTGTAAAAAAAATAGTCTCAGTTTCACTTTGACTTTTTTCACAAAAGCAGGATAACTGGTCAGACTTTCAATTTAGCAAATTATAACAAAATTGGGTTGCAAAATAAACAAAAGGCGTTTTGTCAGTTTACAGCAGAGTTTACATTGCATGCTTTCCCAGGTAGCCGAGAATGTTTCTGAGTGTTCTAGGATCTACTGGGGTAATAATAGTTGTAAGGCACATAGCGCATGCTCTAGAGCGTTGATATGCCCTATATAAATGCTATTATTATTATCATCATTATTATTATTATCAAATAAGGCATAAAACAGAAAGGCAAGAAAAATTCTTAGCTTTTACTTTCGACTTAACACAGGACAATGTCAACTGAAATAAGGCTGGCCCAAGTTTATAGTCCTACTAGACAAAAAGAGGTGCTTGAAGGAAAGATGTGGGGCAGGAGAGCCAGAGGAAGGCAAAGAATAACATGGATGGACAACATAAGGATATGGACTGGCCTGGATATGGCAGAATGTACAACAGCAACTCGCTATCGTGAAAGATGGAGGGTCATTACACGTCAACCTCTCAGTCAGAGATGACACCTCCAGGTGGACACAAAACATTGATTTCAATGGTCAGATGAAAGAGCAAGATTGGGAAAAGAGTGAAAAAAACAACAACAAACAGAGGCTATACACCAATATAAATAACATCCTTTATACTCATCAAAACCTATCAGTAGCAGCTTGATTTTTCTTCTTCTTGATTGACCATACTTGAAGATAGGTATCTATCATGGCGTTCATATGACCTTATGCAGTTGCGAGCGCCATAAAACTCTTACTAAAACTAAAAACTAAACTAGGTATCTATCATATATACTGGGTTGTCCTGGAAAGTTCCTCTGTCAGCCAATATAACTTCTCCTGATGTGCCAATGGGGTTGGCCATTTTCCATATCTTGAGGCTCTGCCTGTCCAACCAGCTGGATAAAGACACAATGTTGTGGCCTTATTTCCCATCCTGATTCTGTAAGCAGTATTAGGAGCTCACCTTTGAGTGGCAGTTGTCGCAGACAGCCCCAGCAAAAGAGGCACACATGGCACGGTCAAAGCTGCATTCTCCAAAGTACTGCAGGAGCTGACACCTCCGGCAGTCCGTCACATTTTCGCAGTATCCCACCATGGCAAACAGGTTGTCTATGTGCACACGCTTGGAGTCAAACGTCGCGCTCTGATCCACTGAGAGTAAAGAGAAAACCAACAAATGGTAGTTTTCGCAGAGTTGTAGTATCAGGCAAGCTAACACAAAACAGCCACTTTGTACGTACCAGGATCAGTCACAAATAATATTCTAAACTGAAATGAAGTTTGAGCTTGAGTTAAGATGAGCACATTGACACACAAATGGGTCATTGGTGAAGCATTGAGGTGAAATCAGATCGAAGACACCGACATTTTTCTGCTCGTTTGGCAAATCTTTATTGAATTTATGTTTTTTGTTCAACATCTTTTAAGTCTATTTAAAACCATATTTCTGTGTTGATTTTACCGCAAAATGCTGATTAAAGATTAAAAAAAACAACTCTCAATCTTTGGAAGTCACTTAACTCTGGTGGCCATTTTCTAGCTAATTTTATCTTTTGAGACCAGGCGACATCCACCTCCTTCAATCTCAAATATCTCAAATTTGTTTCCATTGAAAGCAAGACAAATGAATGAGCCTTAGGATGATACCAATAACTCTATATGCCAAAAAAAAACCTGACGAGCACCTGATCCCAATGCGCTGTGACACATTTAGCCCTGGGAAAGAGCAAGACCAATAGAAAGAAATTGCAGAGCAAAAGAAAAAGGTAACAGAGGGCGCATTAGTATATGGCACGCCAGTTCAGCTGGCGCACGGCATTGCTTGGTTGTTTACTGACACAATACCACAAATCCTAAACCCCTGTCATTCCATCTCAATTATAATCAAACTCTATTACAAAGAGTTTTTATTTCTATACAGTCAAAATTTTTTTAAAAAATGGATTAAATATGAATGAAATTATAGGGAAGTTTGTGATACTTAAAAACTGGACATCAAACTTGGCTGCCTTTAAATTGTAGGACTCCCTTCTTGTCTCATCTACCCTGAATTCTCTCCCCACCATCCCCTCTTGGCTGACCCTCCTCATGTATGACAAACTGTTAAAGAATCAGCAGAAATGAAAGTCTTACAAGGTTGCTGTAGGATCTCCTTCCCTTCCTAACTCACCCGTCCAAAAGGTAAGTAGTGGACGACACACCCATGTTTCAAGACAAGACTTTAAAACTGCTTGTTTGAGAAAACAGAAGCACGTTGACACACAAACTGTCATTCAGTGATATTAAAAAGCCAGAAATACAGAAAAAAACTACAGATGGCAACACAGAAGTAGTAGCTACCACTGTTTTAATACTACAACAAAACAGGCACTTACGCTCTATCAGTTTCCGAATTCTCTTCACATCTGAATAAGTATAGAAGAGAATACAGTGTGCGATCATCCCATCTCGTCCTGCTCTGCCCGCCTCTTGGTAGTATCCCTCCATAGACTTGGGCAGTGAGTAGTGGATCACGAAACGGACATCTGCCTTGTCAATGCCCATCCCAAATGCAATAGTGGCACAGATGATCTAGCAAAGAAAATGAACCAAGTAAGCTTTAAAAAACCCCCCCACAGAAATATCATTAGAGGCGTAACAGCGTTGCGGTCTCACAGCAGGTCAGCATGTCAATGGTCATGTACAAATAAAAATACTAAACGGTGGATTAGAAAGTAATGGAAGTTGTCATTTAACGGTTAAGATGTTGACTCCAGTCATAAAAGCAAAACACATAATTAATCTATAATATGTCTACTCTCGAACCAACCACAGGAGTTTCATGTGACCACACTCTGCCATCCTGTTCATCAGGGCTAACCTTCCATCAGTGAGCTACAGCAGGGCTGCTTACCTCAAAGTTTCATTTTTAGAAAAATTTAGGGTCAGTTTCAGTATTCAGGTATTTTGGCCCTAAATCAGGTAGTACAAAGACAAAGAAGGGGAAAAAAAGACAAAGAAGGGAAAAAAAAAAAAAGACAAGCCATACCCCAGTACAGGTAGTTACCATTGAGCGGGCTAGCTTTTCGAGATATTAGGTAATTCGATTTTAAAAATTCGCGCCTGCACCCACATATAAATGCCCTCGAAGCAACTGAAATTTAGAGCTTTTCAAGGGTTGAAAACAGTATGTCTCCACTGTCACCCTTTGTCATCGCACCATTAACAGTACGCAAATTTGGGAACACAGTCGCCAAACCTGTAATCTACACTGCTTATCCTCCTTTGACATGTTCATTTGTCCCATGTCACAATCCTCCAGCATTCCTTCTATTTTTTTTTCTTTTCATTTTAGCATCAATTTTTTGCACCACGGCCTCATCCCTCTGCCATAGAAACCTCAAACTGACAATCTCTATAGATCTAGACAGGTTTCAAAAAGTTTCTGTCACTATTTAGTTTTCTTGAGCAACGCACAGAATTTCCAGCCGAGTGAAAGAAAGGAAGGAAAAAGATTAGATATCGCGATTAGCCAGATTTTTGCAGAAATGCATGTGAAAATGTATTGCCGACCCAGACGCAATGGATGCATAAATGACAAATGGTCAAGTGTACGAAATGCCACAGACACGATTATGTGCAACAGTAGGCCTACAAATGAAACTGTTTTCTCTCCACCTACCTTGCAGCCGTCTTCATTGAGCCAGCGCTCCTGTACAGTGGCTCTCTTGTTATCGTCCAGCCCGGCATGGTACGAGTTAGCCAGGAGACCAGCTTTCCTCAAATCCATGGCCACATTGTCACATTCCTTTCTGCAAAAGCAAAGAGGTTGGGAATCCCATAAAACCCACCAAATTCTTTAGGGAGTTTTAGTTAAGTTTCAGTTTAATATCAGAGCTGCCAACCCCACGGGCCACAAAAGTGTAAGATCTTAGCTAAAAAAGTGTAAGATTGTAACAAAAAAAAAGTGTACAATATAACAAATATCACTATTTTGACACACACGCAATTAAAATTCTCACAAAAATTAAAAGAAAAGCCAACTCGCAATACAAACTCGGTGGAAGTAGGCCTAAACAAAACGAAATTAGGTCAAAATCAATCAAGGGAAGTCACTGTGACGGTGTGAGTGTCTTCGTCCAATAGTACATTCGCCATCATAGGGGCCTATCAATAATAGATTGGACTGCTGGCGATCGCGAATCAGGGTGACAAACGGAGCAAGATTTTGTTCCTACGATCAATTGGATCGAGCAAAAGTCGTACATTTCGGCAAAGTGGTGTAAAATCTTGCGATCGCCCAAAAAGCTTACAAATACGCTTTTTTGGCGTAAGGTTGGCAGCTCTGTAATACTCTACTGCACAGTGACAAAGTTATTTCAAATGTAGACTGTTTGGTTCTTACAACATACCAAGCCAGAAAAAAAACATTGGAAAGGAAATATGAAGACAGTTCTTACTCTACTTAAATATGAATCAAAACCTGTGAGTAACAAGTGAAATAATAAAATGTTGACAGGTATAAATGTAGAATTTAACCACTATATAAGTGTAGAATCTAACCACTTTGCTTGAAATTAGTTTACAAAACAACTCTTCATATTCTGTTTCAGAAACGTACATGGCTTAACGGTCAGGCTCTTCGCTATGCACGCATACACAGGAATTCGGTGATTATGTAGAAAAAGTTTATTTTATCAGTTTTTCTGCTGGGAAGCTGCCATGTCCCACTGTACTATGCCCATTGCACTGCTGATAGGCAGGGTCAGGCATCCTGCTTTTTAAATGCTTTAAAAGGTGATGGAGTGTGAAATATCTCAGTAACTTAGGTGCTTTTCATATTTCCCAAAATAAAAGGGCAAATATATGAGGTCAACAAAAAAGCTGTAAAAAATTAAAAGAGGAAAAGAAATCAATGAATTTCAAAGTCATATGCAAAAGAATGCTCTGACGTCTTCTTTGGAATTGATTTCAACCCCAGCACTAGAACAAACCTTGAGAAACAATACACAATGCCGCAGTCATTACGGAACCTGGACTGGATCATCTGGATGACATCTGTTGTGGCATTCGAACACTTTTTACTCTGAACACTATATTTCAAATTCGGTCGATTGAAACTCTGCATAAACCTGTAGGGAGAAACAAATGAGCACTGAGCTGTCTTTTCACAAAATTTGTTTAAAATCCGATCTTCATATATGCAGATCTACAGACCTGCCACTCTATGAAATCTAAAAATCAGGATTTTAGAGTTATAAAAAAAAAAGGACCTAGTGAAAAAACGGCATATCAGTCATAAGGGGCACTGGGGAAGAGGGGGTGGGGGTGGTCCTGGTTCCCTTTTATGAGTCAAGTATGCAAGACAAAGCTTTTTGAAAACTGAAAAACAGAATATATGAACTCGAATCGGAGTTGGAAAGAGTGGGGGAGCGCAGGTTGCACTAAAGCTGAAACTCTCGTAGTCTTGAAAATAGCTGACATATAACTCTAATCATCCAGGAAAAAAGCCAGTGTTTTCATACAGTTACAACATTTGACTTCCATCGCATATACACTCAAGGCTCCCCCTACCCCCCCCCCCCCGAAAAAAAATCGCCCCAAGGTTGTTCATTTTTGTTGTTGTTATACCTTTCCCCTCAATTAGTACCAGTATCACGGCACCCACTTTAAGCCCAAGTGGCAAACAATACCCACCCCCCCTCTCGTCCACACTGGGCAAGTCCCGAAAAACACCTCGACCAATGCGACTGGTGTGAATGAACTTTGTTGACCCCGACGGTCCCTGACACACACGCTACTCACCACATGTATGAAGTCATGTCATGTGATGCGAATGAGCGTTTGAAAGTTCCACTGAAAGGTGTTGATGATGGGCCCGACTAACCAGAACTCAAGACAAAGCTTGCTTTTAAAGCAAAGGCAGAACAACAAATAGATTATTCTTAGGCCCATGTCATAATCGTTACAGTAATGAAAACACCACAGGAGAATTCTGGGTTATAAAAGTGAAAGTAGATCTAGAGCGTATTCAAGTGAGAATTCAAAATCGATATTACATCGACTTTAGTTGAAATAACGTGCGTGAGGCAACTACTAGATTCCGTGTAGATGCTTTAGAAAATAGCGTTCCAAGTTCCTGGCGATAAAAAGTCTAATTGGTGCTTCCAAGCAAAAGAGATTGCAGAACTTTTTATATTTTTTTTTAAGAAGCGGACGCAACGACAAAAAAATTTGGATACTGGCGATCGAAATCGGGAAAATCAGGAAGCTTGAGATTTGGGGCAAAAAATCGGGATGAGTGGCAGGTCTGAGATCTATGACCTCTACACACAAATAAATTTTAGCATCATCCAATATTCGGCACAGACAATTGAAGAAAAGTCTATTTCCTCTATAGTCAGTCTCACATATGTACAACAAACATTACGTCAGAATGACTTCCCTATGATTGGGAAGGACAGAAACAACAGCTGTAAAGAAGTGGGAAACATATTTACTGTAAAGCAAGACACTACATTCAAACATAAAATTAATATTACTGCAGTTTTAAAAATAAAAAAGGTGATGATAAAAAAAAAAAAGTCACACCATTTTGGATTGTTCATGTCAAGCTGATGGATGATGTCTCTGCGCACACGTGGAGTAGCTGTGGCAGTGAGAGCCATTGTAGGAACACCTGGGAAACGCTCGCGCAGCAAATTCAACTTCTTATAGTCCGGACGAAAGTCATGGCCCCACTGCAATACAAACACATAGTTGATCAACATCATTGCCAAAGTACAAAATGACATCACTTCTTAAATGTAAAATTATATTGTATTTTTCGAGAAAATGAAATCCCTCTAGTCTTATTGCAATGAATTCAGCACATGGTCAAAAGGGGTACAAAAGGCACCAATGTACCAATAATTGGGAAAGAAAGAGTTCATAGCCAATGTACCAATAATTGGGAAAGAAAGAGTTCATAGCCAATGTACCAATAATTGGGAAAGAAAGAGTTCATAGCCAATGTACCAATAATTGGGAAAGAAAGAGTTCATAGCCAATGTACCAATAATTGGGAAAGAAAGAGTTCATAGCCAATGTACCAATAATTGGGAAAGAAAGAGTTCATAGCCAATAAGAAATTTTACAAAAATTTTTTAAAATGGATTTCAAGATGAGTCATCACTGTAATCACAATAATTCTCAAGCTACACTAGAGTAATCCATCTTCAGGAAAAACATTCCAGACTGTTACTATTGTTACTACAAAGCTAGCTTTCTCACATGAGGAAAGCAAGTATATAAAAGGGGTATATAAAAGCCATTCAGTCAGCAAGGGTCATCAGAGTAGAATCCATGCACAGTGGTTTCCAGCTAATAGAACCAATGATAGTACATAACAAGATGGGCCACTTCTCTCTTTGAGCCAATTAAAAAAGTGTCCTCAAATTTTGGTGGCGCCCTCTTCACAAAAGCGCACTCTTTGCGAACAGAGTTACCCTACTTGAGTTTTTAAAAATCAAAGTGAAACTAGCAAGTTTTGGGATAAATTTCAGAAGAACGCTTTTTAAAAATGGTTACACTGACAAAAATCCTCTTCCGGAGGAAATTGTGATGGTTTTCTTCGTTTAATTTGACTTTAGAATGAAAGGCAAGAGGTCATTAAAATAAAAAAAACAACTAAAAGTCCGCACTGAACGTACCCGAACTGCTGATGAACAGCAGTCGATCTGCGCACGCAAGGAGGTGCTATTCCTATTCTTCTTCTGGAAAAACGAAAGAGAGCTTCAAAACAGACTGCAGCGCCATCTGAAGCAAAGAGCATACTTCCTGTGGACACTTTTTTGGCTGAGTGGCCCATCTTGTTATTCACTATCTTTGATAGAACGCACCTTGGGTGACTAGAAAAGCTTGCCCTTATGCCACCGGAACGTGTTATTAAGTGAAATTTGAAGGGGAGTAACCTGTAGTAAGTACTCTGTCTAATTTTATTGATTATTGGGTTGTGAGTTGCATTAGTGAGCTAAGCTCGCCCCGTGGTGAGAAGTTTTTTCTATGCTGAGCGATCACAGACACAGACTGTCATAATTACTGCATAATCCTCTCACACTGTCTGCCCGCCACGCATGGCCAGGCACAGGCTCTCTTCATTACATCGCACAATTGTCGCACACTATGTCCCTATGTCTTTTTCTCCCTGGCAAAGCTGCAATTTCAAGTTATAAAGGAAGGCAATTGGTGTTTGCTATGCTTCCATACTTACGAGTGAAATGAGTCATTCTTATGGATGATCTGTTTTGACACTGGCACAGGAACGATAATGCTATTAGATAGAGTTGTCCATTTGAAAAGTGCACTTATGAATGATAAATTTAATTATAAATGAAAAATTTGGTGCCGCACTGCAGAGTTCTTTGGAGAGGATTATAGTTTTACCATGAGTGCTATTAGCTGGAGAACACTGCATTCACTGCTCTTATAAATGCTGTAGGATTTTATACAATTTTTATATTCAACAGCCATCACTAGTATGACAGAGCCAAGAGGCTGGACACCCCTAATGAATGAAAGTTATACCACCCCTTAGGGTAAAAGAACCACGGTCATCTGCATGGTAATCCAGCATGAGAACAGAGCTGTCCAAATATTTTGAAACTAATCAAATAAACAAAAATGTAGCACTATACCTTCAAAAAATGAGCAACATGTTTACCTGACTGACACAGTGAGCTTCGTCAATGACAAACCGGCTCAGCTGCTGTCTCCTGTGCAAATTTCCCAGGCAATTTAATAGCTTCCCACTGACCGAGAGCTACAAAATAGAAAAGTGACGGAATAAAACAAGATTAAGATTAGCTTTATTTTGGAGAGAGTAGAATGGCACTTGCAAAATACAGAGGTCATACAAGTCTTGAAGATTAAAGGTTTACAAGAGTAATGTGGTCTAATTCCCTGCGATTACCTGGCAAGCCACAAGAATGTGAAATGAGTGAACAAACTCAGTGTAGCCTAGTGAGTGTAGGAAAATAAAGGCGCACGGGGGGGGGGGGGGGGGGGCATATAAAAAGGTGCGAAATTTGAACCGGCCTTCCGAGCCGCGACGTATGCTGAGTAGGGATCGACGCGACTGGTGGATTGACGCAGAGGATGGAGCTCCAAACCTGTAAACCCACACACATCGTTCCCGCTCGAAACTGTACGTCGAAGAGAGAGAGAGATTGGTTTGAGGCGGGGCATCAGGACTGTTTTGAATATCCTCCCCATGTTTTGCGTTCATTATTATCATGATGGGTTAACCGGGATTGTCTTCCCCACGTTCTGTGTTCATGATTGTTATGATGGGTTAATTAACCTGGGGTGACTTGTGGCTTGAGCATCTTACGATGGTGCTTTTGGCAGTTCAACAAGTAAAGCATCAATCTACGTTCGTGGTCCGTAATTGATTACCGCAACGTGTATTCTTTTTATGTGGAGTGTTGGTTTTCACTGTACTGATCAATGAGATCAAGGGGGCGTGTGTGGTCTTATTCGCTGCGATTACCTGGCAAGCTTTTAGTTTAGTTTTGTTTTAGTAGAGGCTTTACGGTGCTCGCAACTGCATCCTGGAAAGCCACAAGAACATGAAATTAGTGAACAAACTCAGTGTAGCCTAGTGAGTGTAGGAAAATAAAGGCGCACGGGGGGGGGTATATAAAGAGACGCGAAATTTGAACCGGCCTTCCGAGCCGCGACTTATGCTGAGCAGGGATTGACGCGACTGGTGGGTCGACGCAGTGGATGGAGCTCCAAAACCTGCAAGACCCACACACATCATTCCCGCTCGAAACTGTAAGTATTGCACACAACCATAGATAACGAGTAGAATCTAGATCTAGGATTAGATCTAGCCCTTGTCATTTCATTACAAGTAACATACAAACAAAAAAAAGGACAGATGAGGACGACATTTACAAGAGAAAAAGGGAAAATTTAACAGCTGCTCTAAACAAGTTTCAGTAGTCCACCTTCAATCACACAGAGTACCTTTTCTGGAGTGACATAGATCAGCCGATATGCAGGCTTTCTCTGATACAAGCCACTGTACACCAAAGAATCGCCATCTGTATCACCTGAAAGGTTAGCTACTGGTATCTGAAACATAAAGAATTTTAAAGACGATAACAAAGCAATACAATCATAATGCATCTATCAGAGTCTGAAGTTGGAAAGTGAGGACTCTACACAATGTTTCCAGACAGTACTTAAATTGATAGTTAAGTTAGTCCTTAATCATAGTTCTTATAATGTGATACACACATCATTATCCATTGTGCTGTGATAGTATGAATGCTTGCTTATGTGTTAGCGTTCATAGTCTAAAGGGTTTATGTATGCATGTTCATTCACTTGTGCTACGTGTTGAGAGGAAGGTATTGTAAAGCACATAGAACTGAATTGTACAGGAGTACGCCCTATCGAAATTATTCGCATTATTATGATTACAATTCAAAATAACACTCCTCACACGGCTGCCCAACCACGAGTGCATGATTTAGTAATAAAAAAAAGAAAAGAGTAAATTGAACTTTAGATTCTTCATATACACAATGTTTTGTGTTTTCACCGTGTACAGCATATTTATGGGAAATAGGTATTTGAATGTGATGAAATCATCATTCATCGACAATCGAGAGGTATAGTATGTAACGGTTACCTCAAAATTGAGGACATAGAAAATATAAGAAGGCTTTTCCATTTTTCAAGCAATTTCTTTGATATTTGGTAAGATCATCAACTTCTACAATACAAAACTTTTGTCAACAAGAATATTGCATATTTCAATTAGTTTTGTTTTAGTAGCTTTTTTTATGGTTTTTAGGCGGGAAAAAGTGCAGATTTTAGGGGAAAAGTAAAAAAAAATTCACAGAAAAAGCTATGAAGATTATGCTTAAGTGATGTTGGCAAGATGTTGCAATATAGTTGCAAAGGCATGTTGCAAAACTTGAATCCCGAAAGTCAAACAATGTGGAAGCCTCAGCATTTTCAGTAAATAAAACCTTACGAAATGAGATAACTAATGTAACTTATAAATGGTCGCTCTTAAGGACAAGAGGGCTAACTCTGATTTCAGGGGTTTTCAGAAATCTTGACCTACACCAAAAGTGGGCATTGCACTACCTATAGGAGAAGTTTGGTTTCGTTGGTGTGTATACGGTATTTGTTATAGAGAAAATCACCTTGAATTTTAAAGAAATTGTAGACTTTTGAAAGTTTTAAATGGGCTAAGCCAAAAAAAGGGCTGACACCTCAAGTGAAGAGTTCACCGCATGTCCCAGTTGAAAATGACCCCAAAGACTGTGATGATATTCTCATATCAGGTAATTTTTTTCCATCAAATTGTTTCTGTACTGTATCAGTTTTCACTTGAGTACTGTTCAACATAATAGTACCAATCTGTTTGGTAGAAAATGCTTAAAATGTAATGTTCGCATGGATAGGCTAGACCACTTGACCCAATGATAAAGTTGACAAGCTTGGTGGGTTAGCCCCCTGTACAGGGGATAGACCATTTGTATAATATACTTAACTTCAATACAGGAATAGTCCAGATATAAAGGTATGCCTTATTTTGGATGGAATGGCCCATTTTGTCCCAAGATACCTTACTTTGAACAAAACTGAGGATTTTTAACTCAGATGTGAGAGAAAGTTTTGTTGCAGGGATGTGAGACATGGAACGCATCTCAGACTTGAATAAAGAGGATCCAGGTTTTCTTGAACAAGTGTCTAAGGAAGTTATCGAGGATCAGATAGACATACAGAGCCACCAACGAGGAATTGTTAAGGAGAACAAGACAGAGCCCAGTCAGAGATGAAGTGGGAAGAAGGCGGTGGCGATGGATTGGATACTCTTAGGAAGTCAGGCACCTGAATAACAAGGAAAGTGTTGGATCGGAATCCACAGGGTAAAAGATCAAAGGAAGGACCCCTTGGAGCCGGGAGAAGAGTCACAGAAATGAATGTACAGAAAAGTGGGAAGACATCGAATAACACGAAGAGGCTAGCCTAGGATAGGGAAAGGAGGAAAATGTTTGTGTGTGGTCTATACTCTGATCCAGGGTGAGAAAGGCATTGATGACGGTGATCATGATGATGATGACACTGAAGACGGTCGTAACAGCAAACATATATGTTGATTTTTAAAAAGTGCCCCATTTCAGTAGCACCTTCCCTTATTAAGAAATGATGTGTCGTAGCCTGTGCCTAGGTCAGATGGATGGCCAGCGCACTTGTGGCTGTAACTAGGTATGTCTAGGATGTGGGGAGAGGCACAAGTGTTCTGGGTGCAGATCATCAGCAATAATGCAGAGGCATCACAATCATTTTCTTTTCCTCCCTCCCCAGCAACAGAACAACGATACACTAGCTTAGACATTCGAGAACCTCTTAAAGAATTACAGGCTGGTCTGTGGAACCAAACATTCCTGTTTTCTTGACCCCTACACTGCAACGCAACTTGTTGTTCACATGGCTATACTGCATTCGGATTCAACTAGATTGAAGGCCAGGCTCGACGATTTCGTGATATCCGCGTTTCGCTGCAACAGTTCAGAGCAAACCAAAGTGGGATATATATAATACCATCCCAGCAGACAGACAGAAATGATCAAATAACGTCCTCGCTCAGAAATCTAATGAATGTCTGCTACACACCATCACACCCGTCAGAGAGATGCTGAATAGCTACCAAAAAGAAAAACATCAGGGTAAATTGCAGTAAGGCTTTAAAAAAAAAAAAACCCCTTAGATTTATAATGAAAATTGACTCACATCCCGAGAAAGAAGTTGCTGTGTCTGATCCTGTATCAGAGCTTTGAGAGGGGAGACTACGACAGTCACTCCCTCGAAAACCACAGCTGGGAGCTGATAGCATAAGCTCTTGCCACCACCTAGTGGAAAAATAACAAAATTTTTAACAGACTGCACATTCCAATGTACTAATCCACAAACAGGTTATTTGTTTTATGTTTTAGTTACAGTTTTACAGCACCCACAACACAATTAAGTCTTTTAAAAGCTGAAAATTAGAGGTGTTAAAAGAGAAAATCAAACACAAGAAAGAAGAGGGAGAGATAAAGATTATAGATGTTTTGTTTTAGTAAGGTTTTACGGCGCTCGCAACTCCATAAGGTCATATGAGCGTCAAGGGGTGGATGTCAACAGAGAAGTCCAAATGGGGAATCAGGCTTACTCTGCTCACCTCTCTAGCCTCAACAGCACAAAGTCTGCTTTGACTATCAAGGCACCCCAGAAAGGGCAGTTCACAAGAGAGTGACAAACGTACAAAAGAAGTAGAGGAACAATGATGATAGTAAGGATGAGAAAAGAAAAAGCAGCAGTTCCCCCTATGTTGTTCCGGCACAGTATGAGCATGACATTGATAAATCAGCTCATTTACAATTCTGCTGTGCAGAAGAACATGTTAATAGCTCCCTTTGGGAATGGCCTAAAGACACTTCAGTCACTACCACAGCCCGGGGGGGTTGTATAGATGTTTGATAGGAAAGAAGGAGCAAACCACACCAGAACACCTGCCAACCACCCACCCACAAAGGTTAAGGCAAGAAAAATTTAGCACAGTCAGTTCAGTTACCCTGATACAAACACAAGACTTCAGAAAAAAGAAAGAAAAAGGGGGAAAAAAACACCCTATGCTCACAGCTCTGACTTCAAAATTTTCATGGAAAAAAGGTTAAATGGTATGGGTTTAACGCCCCTATCAACACTATTAGGTTATTTAAGAGGTAGGACCTCCGAGTTTAACTTCTATCTCCTAAAGGACTGAGCCAAAAAATGGGCATTTTGTGTAAAGTGCCTCTCTTTTTTGTCAGACCGAGCTGAGGCTACTGAGGCCACCAAAATTTAAATGTGGATAAAGTGGCATAGACAGTGTTAGTAACAAAATAAAACAACACCAAAAACACTTTCAAGCCAAAGCTAAAGAGAGAAAACAACATGTAGTACATTGTATCACTAACCAGTATTTTCATAGACCAACATTTGGAATCCCCAAAAATGAGTTCACAGAACTTGAAAATAGCCAAAATATATCAATAATACCCTCTGAATTTTGCATTCCCTGGCATAAAGATGGGTCTTTCCTTACGCAAGCAAAGAGAACAATTTCAAAAAGACATAATGCACAAAGACATAAAATAAAAGCAGGTGTGTCCTAAAGAAACATATATTCAGGAGGTTTGCTCCATGAACAAAACAGTCTGATGCCAAAGATAACCCAAAAAGTGCACAAAGAAGGGTCACCTAGTCAAAGGAGAAACTTCGGTAACTTGTTAATTGAATTTTAACCCCCCCCCCCCGCACTGACATCCTAACAGCAAAGCATAACATTAATAAACATAACATGCCAGAGACAAATACAAGTTTGTCACATTCCATTGTTTACTGTACTTTTAACCACCCTATTAAACAAACAAATTGGTTCTTTTATCAGCAAGGCAAAAATAGTTGACTAAAACAACATCTTGATGAGAGAAAATAAATCCTGAAGGCCATTACAAATGATCAAACTTTGTTTTGATTCAAACACTTAACTTTCATATATCTTGGTCAGCTTTGCTAAATTCCACATCATTCAAACATTTCAATAGTTTTCGGGAAAAGATGCATCCCCTATTAAGTTGTTATAGAAGTAGTGAAAGAGAAAGAGAGGAAGGCAGAGAAGGAGATGGGAGGACAACATTATAGAGTGGACAGGAAAGACGATGGGTGACAATCTGAGGAGAGTAGAAGACAAAAATAGATGGCGAGAGCTGGTTTACCAATGCAGTGGTGCCCCCATGGTTGCCCCAACAACGGGACAGAAGAAGAAGAAGAGGAAATATGGTACAGGTGGGTGAAAGAATAAAGTAGTAAAATGCAGTACCAGTGGGACTCAGCATAACGTGAAAAAACATACCAGTGGGCATGAGTACAAAGATGTCATGGCCCAACAAGGCAGCGTTGATGGCCTCCAGCTGGTTGCGCCTGAATTCTTTGAGACCAAACACCTCCTGGAACTTGTCCTGCAGCTTCGTGCTGTGCTCAAACTTGAACCCGGCAAATTCCGAGGAAGCTCCATCGTCGTGGTCACTGGAGCTGAACACAGGGATGTAGGTAGAATCTGCCAGATGGAATAATCTATATATATACTGTAAAATTGTGTTTTTGTGATTTTAAGAAACTTTAAAGGATACACGATGTGCTCACTTTATTTTTTAACAAAGACCCTGTCATTTTGGTATGTTATATATACTGAACTGTAATGTCATGAAGCCCTATGAGATATACCTCAAAATAATAAAAAATGTGACTCTGTCTTTTACTTTTTCCCTCATGTAGTCTTCATATGGAAATAAAATGTTCTATGAATGCTCGGAATACCTTGCAAAAAAAAAAAAAAAAAAAAAAGACTGGGAAGGAAACCATCAAAAACAAAAAAATATCAAAACACCAAAAGCTACAATGAATACAACTGTGAAAGAACAAGTGGTCAAATGGGGCTGGCAATACCACATGATCTTAGTCACTTGCTAACAATCACCCATGGACCAAAGACGGCACAAGATGACCTTGCTAACAGAATATTCAAAGCTAGACTTGTCAATCATTAATGTCAGGAACATCAAGAGCATATCATTGAGAGAACAGCAGAAAGTTATGCTTTTTTGACAAAATGCGTAAATGATTCTGGGATGAAAGGGGATAGGTAAATGCAAAAAAATTTTACAATGTTTTTTTGCTTCTGAAGATTGGAGTATAAAAAGTAAAGTATAACCTTCCGAGTCTTTGGGGATATGGACAAATCACAGCCAACTATTTCCAATTTCTGAAAGACTTGGCAAGTCTGACTAATTCACTTTGTCCCCCCCCAAACAACAAACAAACCTAAAAGAAACAGGAGCAAACATGTTAAAAATCCCTTGACGGTTCAGGAAAAAGAAAAACTCAAGGCAAAATCTTGTATGAATTCCTATGCAAAAACTGAAGCCTCTCTAGTCAGTATATCAATCACACCTTGGAAAATGACATGTGGCTGCCTGCTAAGCAAGGAATGATTCACGTTCCAATCTTACAGTTAGAACTGTCAGTTACCCCTTGAGCTCTGGAAGGGATAGAGGAGGAGAAGCTTTTCAGCCTGAAAAAGGCTGAAAATTCACACATTTTGCATTTGTGCAGAATATTAACTTTTCACAATATTTTCTATTTTTAAGTTGCGGGTCTTTTGATACAAACTGTAGCAGCTAATGAATGGGCCAAGCAATGAAAAACACACACAACCACATTAGGAAGACAAGGATTAAATGCATTTTTCTTACCTGAGAATCTTTGTTGGCTATTTCTTTCCTGGTCTTCCTTGAAACCATCATAGTACTCATCATCTTCAATGTGGTAACTATTGACCCCTGCTGCAGCTTCATCAACCAGAGAATCAAGCATTTTCTCATCCTCTACATCACGTATGTCAAGAGACCTGGATGAGATGTCATTTACAACTGCCTGCTGCCTTACTTTGGAACCACCTGGCGACAATAGAGAAGGAGCATTTTTCTCCACAGAATTTTTGTTAGGAGAGTTCATTTTCTTCGACACAGATGAATCTGTCTTTTTTAAATGATCAGCCTCTTCAAAGGACTCATCAAAAGCTAGAGCTGCCTCCATTTCTTCATCAAAACCTCTTTCCTCCATATGGGGGTCGTAATAAGCCTCTTCAATGTCAGCATTCTTCTGGAAACTTGGACTGTTTTTCAAGCCACCCATCTCAGAATGTCTTGAACTACTGTTGAGACGAGAGACTGGTGACTGGGAACTATTGCAGCCCAAAGAACTACGAAAATTCGACTGGCCACACATAAGACTTTTGTCATTCATACTATCAAAACTGGTCGTTGCACGCTCGTTGGGTTTTCTGTGTGAAAGTCGTTTGTCATCATAATAGTTTTTGTTAATAGATTCATTCTTGCCTCGGACCATGTCCCCACCACCAGAAGTGTCATAGAAGCTGGCAACTTGTGACCTGGGAGTCTCTGAACTGACAGCAGGACTCTTTGTGGGGCTTTTCTTCAAAGCCAACTTTTTCCGCTTCAGCTCAGTTTTATCAGCTGACAAAAGAGGCGTAGATGCAAGGGGGTGTCCCGGAGATGACTTTCTCCCGAGTGCTGGATTTGACCTCATTTTTCCTTGGAATTTTTTCAGGTCCATTGTGTCTTTTATCTGTTTTCTGCAAAAGTATATAATTACATGAAACATGATGAATATAAATATAACTTGCTAAATGGGAAAAGTATGACGTAAAGTGATCATAACATTTTCAAAATGAAATGTAAGCTGTTAAGGCCTAAAACAGTTATCACAAACCTCAAGAAAGTACTCATACTTTTCAAGGGAAAATAAGAAATATGTGCTTGGAAATAAAAAGCATTAAACACTCTGTCCAAGACAATACAAAATGGTTTATTAAGAGGATATAATGTAATTAAAATGTAAAAAAAACCTCAATTAAGTTCTCCTTTAATATAATTATCTTCGACTGCCAACAGCGTACTCATGTTTAACCTTAAAGCAGAGCATGAATACACATTTTAGGCAATGATTGTTCACTATAAGGATAATATATATTACAAACCGAACTTTAAGAAGCTCCCCAAGGCGACCAAAATCATCCAGCAACAGGTCGAATAAGGTTTTGATGGGAATCTTGTTAAAGATGTCACAAATTTCATCCACAACTCGCAGCAAAATATGCATCAGTTCTACAGCTTCTTCAGGTTTAACCTGTTTAAATAAAATGACACATTTTCAATTTTAAATACACAAAATTTAATAACTTCAACAGAGCTTCAACTGTGCTAAAATTTTTTTTTTTACTGCTATGGACATAGCAACAAAAATCTTAAACCCTTTTGTTTTAGTTTTAATAAGCATTTTATGGCACTTGCAACACGATTAAGTCATAAGTGCCGAAGATTACAGGGGTTACAAGAGAGTAAAAAACACAAAAAATGAGAAGAGATAAGGATGATAGATGTTTGCTTAACCACAACACCCACCAACCACCCGATTTTGAACAATTTAACCTTGTCTCTTGATTGGACACTGTTTCAGTGATGCCATGCTGTTTCCATTTCTTGGAATATATGTATTTTAATAAAACCAGAGACTACTGTCTGTTTCCTTTGCTACAGATGCAACTTACTTGCAACATTATTTTATGTTGCTTGGTAGAAGCTAACAATGGAAAAGACAGAAGATAACAAAGGGTGAAAGTATGGGAGTTTCAAAAAAAATAAAAAAATCCCTTTCTCTTAAATATTCATTTCAAATGACTGCTTTTTCGTGACGATAATGTATGGCTTTCAACAATCATGTCAGAGTGTAGGGTGCAACTGTGTACAACTTACACCTTGAAAGCATTCTTCTTCAATAATCTAAAAAATAAACCAAGAGATTTAAGGATTGCTCCTATTTCTTCCACCGACGGAGTCCAGCAAGTCACACCCTTTCACATTGCCTCCTAAACAATGAACCAAATACATCCATGGACTGAGGTGTGACCCATGAGCCTCTTTAGAAAGGAGAGAATTCTTTGGCACCACCAAATGTGGCCTATAAGCACTAATAAACTGAGAACATGTCCTTTCAGGACATCAGAAATTTAATAAAACAATAATTGAAGAAATAGAAAGTGTCCTTCCTAAAAGGACACAGTTCTTCCATACCTCAGGCTTCCCTTCTTTTTCAAATCCCAGCCAGGGACACTCAACAATATAACATTAGATGACGTAACAGCAAACAAAATTACTGCGAGTGGAATTGGTTTTGGTCTGGTGTATATGATGACCCTCTCAAATTCCTGACTGCCAAATCCGGGGCACTCCTGGGAAATTAGGGACAGCTGGAAAGCCTGATACTTTGATAAACACAGTCAGGCATTGTGACTTACAGTTTGCCGCACAAAGGAAGGTAGATTAAAAAAAAAAACATGTTCAGCTCTACTCACCGTGTTCAGCCCTTTCTTGAGCAGGGGGTGCTGGCAAATATCTTCACATTTCTCTTCCAAGTCTGAAATCAATTAAAACAAATGTGTTTCTTGATGCTTAAGGTAAAGGGGGCCATCCTGTGTATGGTGTTTGCCTCTCAGTTCAAAAGGTATCGGATCAAAATTGTGATGAAAAAATGTTCTCCTCTAAAATGTTCTTTTTATTTCCTTTCCTGTTCCATAGTCCTATTTTTTCTGTTATCTGCCCCCCCCCCCACCAACCCTACCCTGGGCTCCTTTACTCCTGACTCTTTCTACTGCTACTTCTGACCCTGTCTTACTGCTGTCTTTCAGACACACCCCTGATCTTAAAGTAGGTAAGATACAACATAGTATCTAGCCTTCTCGGATAAGAGCGAAAAATCTTGGAGGTCGGGTGTGAAAGTTCCGCAAGTTTTAAGATATCTAGGTGCACCTAAAATAGATAAGAGTAGGCTTCAGCTGCCATCCGAGCAAAATTCAAAATTAATTCCTACCAAAACTGAAAATACTCTAGTCAGTATAAAAGCAGTCTTTTCAAAATCAGAATGTGGCTGCCTGAAGGCGAGGGGCCATACTAAGCAGGAAAAACGGTCTCATACGTAAAAGTCAGTTGCGCTGCAGGTTGAAGAACCAGCAGTCAACTATCCCTCAGATCTAGTGGAGGAAAGCAAAGAAAAAGAAGAAAGCTTAACGTATATTATTATTTGTGTTATTGCGGTAGCTCATTAACAAGTCTATTTGTACTTAAATGAATACTAAAAACTGGATTTGAATCATGGTGAAAACTAATTAAAAAGTGAATCTACACCACTACGAATGCTCATAAATGAGTAACCTTGTCCTTCTGTAGCTGTTCAATTAAAAAAAAAAAAACTTTCAGGAAAAGTACTCAAAGCAAAGTGAGAAAGAAGTAAAAAAAAAACCCAGTCTAACAAAAAACTGAAATTATACAACAGAATCAATGAGCAACAAGCCATTTGAAAGTTTTTATTTTCAAGGCTGAGACGATAGTAATAATAAATAGCACTTGTAGAGTAAATGAAGTGCTGCAAATGGAAAAAAAAGGATAAGATCACTTGCAAATACAATAAAGAGGCGACAGATGATATTCAAGGGGTACGTGTATAGAAAAAGAGGGTTAGAACAACTGAGTATGACAGGAAAAAGGGATGGCCACAAATGTCTGTTCTAGACAAAACTTTTGGTGGTGACGATAGAACAAAGTCCTGCTCAACAGCAGACTCATTGCGTTTTACAATTTATATTATTGCCCCAGGAGACCTGAAACCATTCTGAAACAATCTCAACTTTCTGGAAAGCATACAACTGATACAGAGGTTTCACACCTTCATTTGGCAGTCTAGTAATTCAAAGTACCATAATTTAAAGTAAAAAACACTAGGCATACTGACTATTAACTGGGCAAGCTCACAAAGCCCTCGATACTCAGCAAGATGAAGAAAGAAAAGAAAAACAAATCAGACCACTAAACAGCTTCACTATGGACTTATGACAAAAAGTGATGATAATATCAATGTTAATACAACCAATGGGAACAAGTAAAAATCAAGAGATGCTGCAGACAGGGGGAACAAATCTGTGAAAACTAGCAAAACTTCAGATTCAGAAGTTCCATGAATAAAAAATAATGGAAGGAAGTGATGTTCCCAAAGTAAGTTAATCGGAACAGAATGATCAGCCGCCACAATCTTTCTGATGGTTGAGATTTTTTGCATCCTGGAAATGTGGCACTCATAACTAAAACAATAGGTTTACTTCATCTCATTTTCAAAATTTACATCAAACAGCACCTTAAAGGGGCAACATAACAAATTATTTGGACTGCTTCTTTTTATCTTTTAAGCCAGTGCTGTAGACCATAACTTTAATGAAATAGAAACTTGACTACACAGCTTCTGAGTCAGTTGCCGAAGGTGCTAACAAAAGGACAAGAGCGCACAAATTGAGGCACTGAGGTAGCTTGACAAGTGGGGTGGAGTGGGGATCAATGGTCACAAATAGCTTATCATTTAGAACAAAACAAGCTGAATTAAGCTATACTAAACCAAGATCTACACATGCAAGCAGAAAATAAACAAACAAAAAACTCCAAATGTGAACAAACAAAACAAAACAACCCCCCCCTTAAACAAGTGGCTTAAGGAAAGATTGTCAGCAACTTGGCCATCAGTACAGACCCCAAGAAAGTTGTCAAATGTTTGTAAAAGTACACACAAAACAAATGTAGCAATGCCAATTGCCGGCTGCGCTCTGGGCTGGAAATCAGGCTCTGAGGTAGCTCTCTTCTAGGTATAGTTATGGGAAAACCCCTGGACAAAAATGAATGGAACCTGGCAACTAATCAGAAGAAAGGCTGAAATTACTACATGCGAGCTTTACATGCCAACAGATTTTTAGAACTGGAGAAATTGCAGTGTTATTAGCGCAATTTTCTTCTGTTTTCCAAAACTTAGAGGGGCACCGGGCAGGCGCTCCACATGTATTCTTTATTGCTGTAAAATTTCAAATCTCTGTGTGTAGTACATTTTACGTACCAACTTAAAATTACCACATGACCTGCGATCTCTGACTAAAGCTGGAAACTGTCACAAACCAAAGATAGTAAATAACAAGATGGGCCACTCAGCCAAAAAAGTGTCCGCAGGAAGTATGCTCTTTGCTTCAGATGGCGCTGCAGTCTGTTT